TCTATTGTAGTGCCGATCGGCGCCCGAGAGAAAGACATCAATTTAGAGCTCTTTACCAAACAATTGAATGGAGAAGTCGTTCGTCTCGTCCTCTGCGACGACTGGAAACTAATGCAAGAAAATACTCCCGATTTGCTCGAAGACAAGAAAATGCAATTGAGATCCGGTTGGAAATTAAAGCTCGGTTTCTAATGATTGAATTGATTGAAATACCAATTTTATAATGTTTTTAGTTTATTGTAAATAATTATCAAACAATTTATGCAAACAATTCATTTAATTTTATAATAATTTTATAGCATTTAATACATTTAAATTACAAATAATATTTATTGTAAAGTTATAAACACTTTTAAATGCTGACAATAGATGTGTCTCTATTTCTTATGTGATAACTGCTAACAGTGTTTTCATTATCACTGTCTAAATCACATCCACCGTCGGTCGAGAACTTAACTTTTGTCCCATTCTTTCCCTTCTTTAACGTAAAACTTCCAGAATTTAAATGATTTTTTGAGCACAAAATCAGAATAAATACAATTACAGCAATAGTTATGGCGATATAGTTGTAGCAAAGAAAGAATATGGTATTATTCTTTGAAATAAATCTATCAATTATTTGTGTATTAATTGTGGACACGAATGAACTGAAGAATATGACAATCGCTATAATATTATTGTTAATATGTATGTATCGCTCCAATAGAGACAGTATAGATGCCGGGGTCGCCGAGAAACCGATTCCCATTAATATGTTTATCTAAAAATTAATCAATTAATTAATTTGATATTTACTAATAATAGTTATGCAATAATTACAATAATTAGTATAACAAACAAATCCTTCCCAAACAAAATGAGTGTAATGTTAGCGCAGATTATAATCAGACAACAGATTATAAGCATAATATGTGGTCTGAGATGACGGGCGACGAACACATCCAACAATCTGAACAACGCTAACGAGCCATACATCGAGAGTGTTGTGTATGCGATATATTCTTCTGTAAATTCATATAATTTTTTAATTAAAACATTTTTAAATTCTTGTCTCTATTGTTATGACAATAATTACTTTTGTTATCAGAATTATGGAAATAAATGGATAAAAGCCTAATATTAGCGAATTCGACTGCAGTATAAGCCGAGAGCAATATAGAGCCGGATATGATGTAAAATAATCTTTGCCACGACTTTATGGATCCAATGCTCGACCCGTCGCTGAAAATATGACTTCTTTGAAATGTTTTATGAGTTGCTTTGAGTTGTCTTTTTCTGTTTGTTTTGTGTTTCATTGAATTCATTGACTGAATAATTATAAGCAAAGAAGTGCCACAAATGGCCAAAAATGCTTCGCAAACGCTCGGAATCCTTTCCGATAAATTCTTAACACATATTTTGTCAGATATTTCATCTAATAAATCATGTTTTAAATATTGAATTAGACTTTCATTATACGAATGGTTAAAACTATTGTTTAATGAATCACTGATTTCGTTATCAAATGAAATATCTTCTGTCAGATAAATAGTTTTATTTGAATTAAAGCATTGAATATCATTAGACGTATGAATAAAATTCTTGTTAAGCATTGGTTTTATAACAGAACCAAATGTAATGAAAAAGAAAAGTGTGTGAATATATGGAGAACTTTCTTCCCTCCAAACACTGATTATCCATACAATTAGTGTTGTGTACAAAACACCGGCCGATAAGCCTTTTATGCCATACAATGCTATTATTGTCCAATTTATAGTGAGATGAGAGCAAAACACATTAATAAATGATACGAATATTAGGGAAACCATTGCACAGATATTATGACCGAATAGATTAAGTAATATTAAACTCAATATTGAGCCCAAAGTGAATGCAATGCTAAATATAGTGTTTATAAAAGTTATATTTTGTATGGAAATATTGAGAGCGTTTTGAATGTCTTCCGCTGTTAATGGGTTTACACTTGTTGTCAATCCCTGAATATAAATCAATTTCA